TTAAATTGTTTGTTACAGTGTAATACTTTTGACTCAACATGTGCATGCTACATGCCATCCATCATAGTAATGATATAGTACATAATAGATGCACTATATCATTGTTTCAGTAATTAATTGAATATAATAATTGTTTCTTTTTTCAATTATATCCTGTTTTGTATGAATTATATTTATTTTTTTTTAATTTTTAATTAGTTTTCAACAGATGGCGCTACACGTAAAGCTAGCAAGTCAGATGTAGGAAGAAATTAATTGATACATAAAATTCAATCAATATTTTGGGGTGGAATGTACGATATTATCTGAGTTTGATATATATTAACGTAACATCCGAGTTTCAGAGTAATTGGTCTAACGGCTTAGAAATGAATAGCAAACAAACAAACATCCTCGTTGATACAGATAAGATATTAAATGCAAAAATAATAAACGAGAAAATAACTTTTTTCAATGACAATAATACAAATAAACAGGTAAATGGTGGATGGCTCAGCTCTTATCTATTACAGAGAACAACATTAGAGAGGTTGAGGCGCACGTTTTAAACGTGTAAACGTGTACGTGTGACGTTCGGCGCCGCTTTCCCGTAAGCCTAGAAGTTTGACAATGGTGTTTGGATAGTCGGTGGAATCACGCTCGACATTCCAAACACCATCGTCAAACTTTTAGGCTTACGGGAAAGCGGCGCCGAACGTCACACGTACACGTTTACACGTTTAAAACGTGCGCCTCAACTTCTCTAATATTTGAGAAGTGATCCTTGTTAGACATGTTGTGATGACCTCGTGAAGTTGTGAAAGTTAACGTCCGAAAGACTTGATATAAAAGTTGATTGGATAAAATTATTTATTGTGACGTAATCACAATTCCGGGCTCTAATTTTTAATTATATTTTTCATTTATTTAATTTGATTTAAAATATATTTTCTCTACCTGAAATTAGTACTGTCTTGTTTCTGTACATAATATTTCTTTTAACAGAAGAGTTGTGCCGGTCATTTATCTAACACTTTTCAGAGGAATACGTTCAAAGTAAAATAACGTCTCTTTCCGTTTATGTCGGAAATTCATATACTGTTAATCGGGACCTTCTGGCACTAGTGTTTTCCCACTTTATATCATTATTCATCTTTTATACTCCCTTTTTGAGATTTAAAAAAGACAGGCAGACGGCCACAAAGACAACAGTCGGAATTTATAGGTCTATAATTTCTTTTTTAAATTGCATCCCAAAATTCTTGTAAAATGATGAGATAATTGCTTTTTTGTGATAATAAAGTGTTTATATTTTTTCAACAAATCGTATAAACTACGTAGAAAATAGATTCAGTTAAACATCGCATTTAAGTAAAAGTTATTACAATTAGTTTAACCTTTACTATCGACTGGACCATCATTCTGTTTTAATATTTGTATTCCGAACAGCCGAACGATCCTGATGAATGGATATAAGAAATTCACTGTCTTTTGGTGAGGAAAAGTAATCATGTTCAATTGAGTATTTTTTCATAAATTCGAACAGTTTCATGAAAGTTCATACAACAAAAATTAAGAGAAAAACATCACTAAACATCGTTGGTGTAGCTACAAATTTTAGCACCTTCAAGGCTTCGCATACGTGTTTGCGCCCAAAGCTGCCGCCCGTTTTTTCCAAGTTATGTTACTGCTCTTTAAGGATAACGATTAAAGGGAATAGCGAGGAAACCTTGCCAGTCCCTTAGTGCTAGTTATAACCGAGTTCGACTGCACTTGAATGTAAGATACACATCGTAAATAAAAATGTAATGGTAAACTGCAAATTCCAAACCATCCAGGAATTAAATAGCTCAGATTTTTTAGGATTAAGATAAACCTATATAGATTTGCCAAATCGTACCAAACATTTAAATTAATAGACTAATATTATAATATATCGTTGATTTGCTAATGGAAACTGTCGTAACTTCGCTACCAGTTGAAAACATTTCTCGTAAAAAGAAACATACAAGAAATTTTCAAATTATTACATTCATTCATTCATTCATTCATTCATTTTTATTTACTATGTACTGTCAAGTACATTCCTGGCCCCGCATGGAGCATTACCAGGAGATAAACAATTCAAATACGTTACAATATATATTCATAGAGAAAATTAAATAACGTTAAGTTGTAGTAATGGTAAATAAAACAAAAACAAAAAAAAATAAAACAAACAAAAACAAAAAAAAATGAAATAAAATAAAAATAAATAGATAAGATTGTTGAGGGACATTGTATTGGTTCACACATAATCAGACCATGATGATCAGAACCCTTGTTGTATATCACATACAGTAGTATTGCTTTCAGGATGCAAACTTTTGAGAGTAGTGCAAACTCTGTAGATATTATTCGATGAGGCACAATACTTACCTATAGCACGTAGCCTTATTCTTGAGCGCAATNACAAAAATAAAAAAAATGAAATAAAATAAAAATAAATAGATAAGATTGTTGAGGGACATTGTTTTGGTTCACACATAATCAGACCATGATGATCAGAACCCTTGTTGTATATCACATACAGTAATATTGCTTTCAGGATGCAAACTTTTGAGAGTAGTGCAAACTCTGTAGATATTATTCGATAAGGCATAATACTTACCTATAGCACGTAGCCTTATTCTTGAGCGCAATTTCACTGTAGTTCCATTAGTACAGTACATCCAAGGCACTGCGATTAGGACAATGAACGCGACGGGTGGTTGACGCATAGGAAAGCAGAGCACTTCCATCAGGACAACACTGCCGAGAGATGGTTCACAGACACCAGTTAATAATGATCAAAATATGACTGGATGAAGATTGGCACTAGTGATTGCTCCTCATTTCCAAATCACACTCCCTGTGAGTTGGAAATGTTATTCTCTAAAGATATAAAGTATATAGTTGGCTAATGCACAAGGTGAATCAATTTGAAAAACACAAATTTTCACAGAAAATGTGGTACATGTCCAGAAGCACGATCATTCAATTGAAATATTATCGTTCAGCCACATCATAGACAAGTTAATGAGATTGCGCATGTAGTTTTAGCGTTATATTATTTGATGTGTTATTTTAGAGATACTTTTAGCAAGTCTGGTGAAGGCATTATAAACTTCAAGAGATGTCCATATGTCTGATAATTGGCAGGGCCAGTTAATTCCTTGTTGATTTAGTAGTAATTTTAGCTCTAGTCGTTCACGATCAAATAGTATGCAATCATAAAAATAATGTTTGGAACCATCTGTCACAAGACAAGTAGGACATTGGTCAGAGTTTCTATCAGTGAACCTAACAAGATATGAAGCGTATTTGCCATGATTGGTGAACAGCTGCGTGGTGTAGTAGGTGGGTGAATACCACTGTATCATGAAAAATTTACAGAGGTCAGGAATGTATTCATGAGTGATATGATGATCATTGCGATCCCATTCAATTTGCCATAAATGAAGAGCATGTTCCCAAAGTATACGGCGCAAAGTACGTTGACTATATTTATTATAGGCAATAGGAGCAGTGATGTCATTAGCTGCAGATTTTGCCAAGAGATCAGCCTTTTCGTTGCCTAACGTTCCCTGATGCGCTCTGATCCATGTGATAGCAAAAGTACAGTTGGAAAACCTCATAAGATGTCTGATTTCCTCTGCAAGTGGATGTAGCTTCGAGTTGTTAATTAAATTGCAAGCGGATAAAGAGTCAGTGTGGATATGAACTGAAATATTATTATAATTACTGTTTATCCAATCGATGCTCATTTTAATAGCGAAAAGTTCCGCCTGAAACACTGTGCAGTGGTCATCAAGACGATAAGTCTGATTGTATATTTCGTGATCTTGCCTGAAGACAACAAAACTACACCCCACCGAATCGTTAATTCTTGAGCCATCAGAATATATATCTACATCAGCATAGTTATTGCTTTCAAAAGTGTAATTTAAGGGAATACCGGGGGGAGAGGTGTCACAGTAAGGAGAGTTCCATTCAATGTTATTGTGTAATATCGTTCTAGAGTATGTCATAATATTTTCACCCCATTTGGCTTGTTGCAATTTCTCTTTCATCATAATTGTTAGGTCTATTGGTAGTTTTTTCGCAATAACTTGTAAGGATTGATTGCTTGCAGTTCGAAATGCCTTGGTTATGAGTAGAAGAGCACGTCTTTGCGATGAGACTAGTTTCCTTTTAGTATGTATCTTATGAGTGGCCCATCCCCAAGTTCCACATGCATATGTAATGATAGGAATATATATACTGTCATAAATAATGGACATTGCATCTGCAGATAGTCCCCAGTCTCTTCTGGCTACTTGTGCAAAAGCTTGAAGTATAAATCCTGTACGGTTAGAGATATATTCCACGTGTTTATCCCACGAGAGTCGGAAGTCAAGTATAACACCCAGGTATTTAAGAGTTTTTTCAACTTTGATTGTGTTGTTATTCATTTTAAGATGTGGTGGTCTGAGATAAAGGTTGTGTTTACCTGATTTGTTGAAAACAATACCTCTAGTCTTTAGAGGATTGAAGTTAAGTTTGTGTTTATTTCCCCATGTGTAAATCAGTTGTAACAGGTAGTTGGCTTTGTACTCAAGGTCAGACCTTGATCGACCTCCTAGCAGCATTATAACGTCGTCAGCATAAGCAAAGGAATCTGTTTGTCCGAGGGTTTCTTTAAGGAAGGCATCGAAAGTGATATTCCAAAGCAGGGGTCCACAGACAGACCCCTGCGGGCAACCTCTTGTAATGATTTTATTCACCTGATGTTGTCCATACTGTATAGTTGCAGTACGTTCATTTAAATAATCCTGAAATAGTTGTAGGATGTTACGAGGACAATTTAACTTTCGCAATTGATGTGTAATAAATGGCCACCAAGCAGAGTCAAATGCTTTAGATATGTCTAAGCTCACTCCAAGAACATATTTGCTGTCATCAAGTAAATGGTTAACTGTGTTAACCATAGATTCAATTGCGTTATCGGCCGATCGTTGTGGCCGAAAGCCGTATTGTTTATTGCTTAGGCATTTATTATGCTCAACATGCCAGTTGAGCCTGTTGGTCATCAACCGTTCGAGTATCTTACCCAATGCGGGTAGAAGGGAAATTGGTCGCGCATCACTTGAAGAGCCTGGTTTTGGGACAGGAAAAATCCGTGCGTGTTTCCATGCACGAGGAAAATTTGCATGGTGTAGACAGGCATTATATAAATTAAATAAGTGTTACAGAATAATAGCCCACAGATTGAGTGCAATTTCATTAGTAATTTCGTCAGGGCCCGGAGCTTTGCCTTTTTTGAGATAACAGAAGGCCTGTTGAATTTCCTCGTACTTGAATTGTGGAATGTCTATTGTATCATCTAAATCGCTAAATTCAGCACGAATAGAACGTTGCCAGTCTGTGTGACCCACTGGATCGTCATCAGGACAGAAGGCATCCAGTTGGGCTGTTAACGTTTGGATAAGAGTAGGTGGGTTAGAATCTTCAGTACTTAGGTCCGTTATAATTTTTGTTTTTTGCAGTTTATTGCTGCACATTTTCGTTATGAATCCCCATGGGTTCTTAGATGTATTAGTACAAAATTCGCGCCAGCTGCGCGTTTTCTCAGCTTTTATTGCTTATTTGTAGAGTTTTTGACTACAGAGATAGGCCTCTTTATGTGCAGTTCGTGCAGCATTTTCCCTGCATCTCTGATATGTCTTCCTGAGTTTTCTTGTTTTTTTACGGAGATTGTCTAATTCGGATGTCCACCATGGAACACTTTTCCTGTTCTGTGTTTTTTTTGGGGGGGTATGAAGAGACTGCACGCGTTGGAGATTGTTTCAATATTGTAATCAATTTGTTTCCTTACGTACGAGGAATTCTCTGAATAAATGTTAATAAGGTTACTCTCAAGGTATTCTGACATCTCTCTCCAATTAGCATGATTTAGGGCATATTTCAGGCGTGGGGAAAATGCAGGTAACAGGTCTTCCTCCGTACAAGTAATATCGAAAGCAATCAATGCATGTCCAGTTAAGCTATCTTCAGACAGTACTCTCCAATTATCTATTCTGGTGTAAAGGTTGTTACTACAGACGGCAACGTCTATCCAACTGTCGCCTCTGTGAGAGGTAAAGGTCGGTGGAGAGGTAAAGGTCAAATCATTACAATGAAATCCATAAAGCGAATAAAGTTTAATGAAATAAAACGAGCGCCCACTGAAGCTCAATCCCTTCTTTTATCCGATTTTGTCCGCCATGTCATAACCCTATCCTGCTTCTAGTATGGACCTTATTTATGGACATGTCAGATAACATTAAAATTTCTATAAGTACTTAATTTAAATTTTAGTGATAATTTTATAAATATTTCATACATCAACTTCATTCCTATTTTATTAACGATTCCTTGCGTAAACTACAATGGAAATTATTTCATGTCATAAATTGCATCAATGATAAATTATTAAAATTTATTTTATAAAAGTATTCAAAATATGACTTTTTAATAAATTAAGAAAATACTTTGTCATAGAAATATTTCAATATTGAAAGACTTAAGAATTTGTATTATACTGTTTCTAGAAAGAATTACTGAAGAGCAATTGGGTCATCTATGCAGGGATGACTCATCGTCTTCAAATTTAACACCCGCGTACAAATGGGCCACGCTCGCATTGAGTAACATTGCTTACATTAATAAACAGCCTGTGCAGAAGGCCTGTCTCTTGTGTAACGAACAAATGCGTTTCTACTGTTTTATTTCGTGTATTATCATGTAAAGCACATCCTAGCGAAAGTTTTAAACAAATTTTCTATTTCTTTGTTTGCAAAGTTCTTGACCTTATTTTTTGCATAAACGGTATATAAATTTTCGTATCTGCTACTTATTTGCAGCTAGAGAGCAATTTGGATAATGGAATTTTAATTGTAAACGTTTGCAAACTTTCTTCACTAGAGAAAGCTACGATAATCTACATTTACCAGCACATTTTCCTCAGTAGATATAAAGCCCGAAAATCCCCCCGATGGAAAGAAAAGAAAAAACTGTGTAAGATCTGCCAGTTCAAATTTTAACTTTATAATTTTAATAGGATATTTTTCTGTGTTTTTTAAGGAATGTTTTTAAACTTGACGGCCAAGCAGCCTAAAAAGAAAGGTCGTCAATTGTTTGTATTCTGGAACACAAGAAGTGAATAAATGGTGGTTACCAATTCTGGACAGACTCCGTCTTCAAATTAATTTTCAGAATTTTAATTATATTTAATTACGAAATACCTGCATTAGCTCTTATGGGATATTGACACTACATCGACATAGTAAACTAGCGTATTGAGTAATCAATAATTTAATGAACGTATCAAGTTGAAGTTATAGTTATAAGTTTTGTTCAAAGTGCATTTTTTGAATAATATTCTTTGATAATATGCAGAACGTCTCTTAATTAACTATATACATTATAATTTACGTAAGTACATAAATGAAAATCGATAATGTGCATCTACATTCCTACATCGATAATGTACTGTACATCTACGTGACATTAATGAACATCACAATTCCTTTCAGGTACGGTACTTTATTCTATTACAAGTAACACGTTCAGAAATATATAACCATCTCTTCTAATAAATTTAGTGAAAACCGTGCGTCATACTTATATACCTTCAAATACTTTTATAAAGGTCAATAAATATCCTACGATATTCGATACAAGATGGTTGTAACTGCTCATAAACAGACACTTAACTTTTTTTACCCATTCATCAGATCCGTTCGGGTTTTCGGTATTAAAATATTGCAACAGAATGATGGCCTAGTCGACTTTTTAGTGTTTACGTCAACGTTATAGAAAAGTTTTGGTGGTTCAATGTGTTACTGTTTTCCGCTACCATCGTCAAAAATAATGTCTTGTGTAGTAGTTAGACATTCGTGTTTCCGAAGCAGAAACACACTGTTACGTTGGTCATGACATTGTTTCTATTATTTTACAGCTTTCAATTCAGCTATTTAAAAAACGGAAAATTGTACTTACCGAGCGAAAAGAGTGCATTTGAAAATGAAATCACACAAATGAGGAAGATCAAAAATTTATTTTCGATATTCTCGTGTTTGGCATTCTTTACCACAATCACAGCCGTAATTGTTTTCGATATCTTCGTATACCCTGCCTTTACTGACAAATCGGCTGTGGAAATCGCCTTCTGTGACATGAATATAATACTAATTATAATATTTGCATCGGCTGAAATATTCTTTATATTGTTCTCTATCGGGGCGTTATATTATATAATACACGTGAAACTACGACATCTGAGCCAGAAACTAACTTTGACCTCTATTAATGTACAAGGAGTACAATTTCGCATCGAAGAAATTATTGTACTTTATTGGGATTTGTGGTATTGTATTCAGTGTATCAACGAAACAGGAGATTTGTACCTAGCAGCGATTTACGCATTTTATGTGTATTTTCCTCCTCTGTTTGTATCAACCCCTTTATTCATGGATCTGGATTGGCGTCTTCTTATGGAAATTATGGTCATAGCTGTAGTATTAATCACTGTCAGTTTCATGTTAGCTTTCTCTCTTTCGAAATTCACTTCGACGGTAAATAAATGATAGTTTGACTAAGAAATTCATTAACATTTACAGTATCAAAACTGATTGAATACCATTATAAATATTTCATTTTTTGGTAAAAGGTGAAATTAAAATTTCAGAAACTAATAAATGAGACTTTTAATATTTGGTAATATTTATTTTAATATAAATTATCTTAAAAAAGACATTTTTACAATTTTAAAATATATTTATTAGAATTATAATTAAATCGAATATTTTTTAATGTAGATTTATAGCAATTTTAATGACATAAACCGATTTTCCATGGCGCACTTTTTTCTAAATTATAAATTAAGAATAAGATTTATTAATTTTGTATCTATATACTGTATATAATCGAGACGAGTTAATAATAATAAGCGCAGAGCCCAAACGGTTAAGAGTTGAAAGTTTAAATTTGGTACACAGTTAGGGTACGTTAGAAGAACGCACATTAAGAAGGAATTTTTCGAAATTCCTCCCCACGGGGGAGGAGGACGGGATTAAGCCTTAACACTTCCATCAACAATGGAAGTGTTAAGTAACAATGGAAGTGTCAACAATGGAAGTTTTACGTAAAAATGGAATTGTTAAGAGATAGCGACGTTTTAAGAGAAAGTGCAGTTTTTTTCGTTTTTGCAGGAAATCGAAGATATTTTTAGACTCATCTAAAAATTTTTTAATTAATCTGGAAACGGGGGACCCAATTCTTGCATTCTGTGAAAACGGGTAATGTTGACTTTAACGTAATAATCTTAATCTTCGCTATCGTTACCTTTGCCCGAGCAACGCCGGGTCTACCTGCTAGTCTATAATAAATTTTATAAAATTTATTTGTAATTAAGTAAAATATTCGGAGAGAATTTTTAATTTGTCTGCAACAGATGCTGGATTTGATAAAGAGGTTCGGAAGATCTCCCATTGGAATATCATCGCTGGTTTCTTTTACGTAAATAAAAAATTTGCAATTAGAGTAAGTGACGACAATTATCATCTAATATATAATCGAGACGGGTTGATGATAATGATAATGATAATGATAATAATAATAATAAGTGCAGAGCCCAAACGGTTAAGAGTTGAAAGTTTAAATTTGGTACACAGTTAGGGTACGTTAGAAGAACGCACATTAAGAAGGGATTTTTCGAAATTCCTCCCCACGGGGGAGGAGGACGGGATTAAGCCTTAACACTTCCATCAACAATGGAAGTGTTAAGTAACAATGGAAGTGTCAACAATGGAAGTTTTACGTAACAATGGAATTGTTAAGAGGACGTGCAAGACGCAGATGCAGTTTTTTTCGTTTTTGCGGGAAATCGAACATATTTTTAGTCCCATCAAAAAATTTACTAATTAGTCTGGAAACAAGGGGACCCAAT